CACAAAAATGAAACCGGCAGCTTGGCATCTTAATTAGCAGACGCTAGACCATTTCTTAAGATTATGAATGAGCCGCAAAAGTGAGATCCAGCAACAATGCTGTCTTCCAGCACACGGCGAGATTCCCTTTATGCCCGGTTTCTTTAATTCAGGTCGACTTTTTCAATAACGTGGTTAAGTTAACTCAATCTACAGCACAGACAGCTCAATGAATTGCCCTGTCAGTCACTGGGAGATTTTGCATTCGGCATTAGTAACTGCAATCTGCTCGCCTGTAACGCAATTAAACAACAAATAGAAACCAGTGTCGTTCTCACTGCATCTGTCAGATAGGGATGTAAAGGGATTCACCTGGGATTGGACGAGAGGAGCTGGATAAATAGGTTGAAGGTCAAAACAAAGCTTTTACAATGATCTAAGGCCTGTTTCCAACTAGTGTTAACATGCGTTTTCAATGATTCGAGCACAATTGAGCATCTCTTCTGTCCATTTGTGTACTTTCCCTTTTATTTCATAACACTATACTGTACATTATTTTCACAGAGGTCATTGATTAGCACAATGCACAAGTGAACAATCACACACTATGGAGCTTATGAGCAGAGGCGGATTTAGGCATGGGTAATATAGGCGATCAATCGCCCAGGGCGGCATCTTGCAGGGGGCGGCGAGGGGAGATGGTGCAAAAAAACAAACAAAAAAACGTACCCCAGAAAAATCATCTGTGCCCCAGTAAGCTTTTAGATATAAAATTTGCTTTATGCAAATATATTCATTTAGAGTGGTAATACCAGAATAAAGACTTTAATAGCCATTCACATTTGGTGTCTTCACAGGTGCAATTTTGTTAATATCTATGTGCAACCGAAACAACGCTGGGAAAAGCAAACCAACACATGCACACAGAACACCATTCCCGCGTGCCTCACGCGCTGCTCCTGCTCTTGTTGACGTGCATGCGCTGTGAAACCGGAGTAACGTTTAAGACCTTTTCTGCTACTTTTATGACCCAAGGTGTCAACATGAAGCAAGTTTTGCAAGTTTGACAAAACTCTTGAACTTATTTTGACTAAGCATGGCTATGAAGTATAAAGGAAAGATAAAGAGTCAGGGAGGTAAGACATATTAACATTATTCTCAGCCTTGAGTTGGGTCTAAGATAAACAGACAATTCTATAAAAAACTTTTTCTTTTTTTGTATTCTACAGAATTGTTATAATTGATATTCATGTTAAATATTTCTTGTGTGCATATCACTCCAGTTTTGTCTTTACATTGTTTTCCAGTTAAATTTAGGATTGTTTTTGTTATTTATTTAGAATATTAGTATTAAGTATTTTTTAGTATTATTTAGTATTATCTATATTAGTAATATACATATTTTTAATTATGCCAATAATGAAATTGTCCATATTTTACCCAAAGTAGAGTTAATTTTGTATATGTACATGATTAATCATTCTTTTTCTATAACTAGATGTTTTTTTTGGGGGGGTATATGTGGTGATTCGCCCAGGGTGCCATTTAAGCTAGAACCGCCAATGCTTATGAGCAAGCAGGATACTAAACTAAAAAGTACAAGGAAAATAAGGTATTGATTGTACTTTTCTGCGGCAAAGTATGAGTATATATAACTTTGTCTGTGTGTGTGTGTGTGTGTGTGTGTGTGTGTGTGTGTGTGTGTGTGTGTGTGTGTGTGTGTGTGTGTGTGTGTGTGCTTTCTCACAACATGTTTCATAATGATAACATGTCAGGTTAGTAGTCGAAGATGAGCTTGTCCTTTTTTGGCTGTTTGAACATGTTTAATAATGTCAACATGAGCATTTACAATAATAAAAACAATCTCAAGTCACAATTCCATACTGTATGGACAATAATACTGAACTCACAATTATTTTAAAAAGAGATATTTTAGTTGTATGTTTTATTATCCTCATTATTATGGTAACACTTTAAAATAATGGTCCGTTAGTTCATGTATTTACTAACATTAACTAAGCATGAATGATCTTGCAAAGCATTTATTAATCATAGTCCAACATTTACTAATGCATTATTAAAATTCTTACTCAAGCTTGTTTATGTTAGTTCATGCACTGTGCGTTAACATGAACTAACATTATTTAACTTAAATAGTATTTACTAATGTTAACCAAATAAATATCGTAATAAAGGTAATAGAGTGGAGGAACTATGACGTCACCTTGTAGGCTAATCGGCTGCTAGCATAAAACTGGTTCCCTCAATAAAATCCTTATATGATTTTCCTATAGGCTTTTCAAAGATTGCAAATAATAAGCTCTGTGTTCAAACACTGTTCATTACACTTACACGTTTTGTCTTTTGTCTACGTGTAGCTGAAAAATCATCATGCGAAAATACAACCTTTAACACTTTTTGATCTTAAATGCAAACGCAAGAACTGAAAAGCTAACATTAGGCTATAAACGGACTACAGTGCCTTCGGGGCGTTCGCCTGTGACGTCAGTATCACCCTGCTACAGACAACTTTTCAAGCTTATCTTTAGAAATATGGTCCAAAACAACAATTTCCCCTCTCAGTTTATAATAGTATAATACACACACTGTATATAAACAAATATGCAAAAACACATCTGTATAGACCTACGTGCCTTTTGGATAGTTTTTCATGTGGGAAATATGTTTTGTTTTGCTTTATGGTTGTTGTAAAAGTTTTAAAACTGAATGTATAAATGTGCCTACATAGCATTATCATGAGACTAAAGTGTATCGCTCCCATGCATACTGCCCGCTTACCTTAGTAACAGAAAACAGAAATGAGGCATGATAGACAAGTCTATCAATTGCCTGCAAGTTCTATCATAGATGGAGAAAAACATTCAATATTCTTTTTTGTCATAAAGTACAGCGAAAAGCAGCCCATATCAGATCACATATACTATCACATATGCTATTAATTTAAGGAGAAGTGTACATAATGAAGTTATGACAGTTATATGTGTTCACATGAAGAAAAAAAAAAAAAGAAAAATCAATTGATCACGTTAAAACGACAGTTAATATGTATGTTTGTGTTAGCCACGAACCTTCTTTAAGAGATTTAACTGAAATCCTATTGAAAATACCCATTGACTTTGGGACGAGGGAACCAGAACTTCTAAAATACAAACTCCCTTCTGGGTTTTTGCATACAAATTGACATCATAGTTCCTCCACTCTATAGTTTGTTCTTGTTAGTAAATACATTAATTAATGGAACAATATTTTAAAGTGTTATCATCATAATTAATGTTAAGAAATATTTTAAAAAGTACTGTTGATTAAAATCTTACATTTGGTATGGACTTGGTGGTCAACTTGCAAAGACAGGGACTTTTTCCTTGGTGCTCAACAGACATGACAATAGCCACATCTGAATTCAAACATGACCCTGGATCACCAGACATCCATGCATGATATTACGCAGCGTCTAAAAGTAGTTCTAAATAGTCTTTCACAAATGTCTCTGTGGCTGCAAGATTTCCAGTTGCTGCATAATATCATTGCACCTGCTGCAGGCAATTTTCTTGACTATTACACCAGAATAAAATTATAGCCAAATTATAGCAAAGTTGGCCTAGAATACAACAACTTTTCATTTGTTTTAGTCAAGTGGCAACCTCCCGCTCTCCCTCTTGAAGCAAAAACAGAAGTAACTTAAGCTGCAATTCATTGAAATTCCGCTAGTGCTGGCTCCATAATAGAGCAGATTTCTATTGATCGTAGTGTTAAATTGGCCAACTTTACAGAAGAAAAAGAAGGTGTTTACAGCCTAATATAAAATAAAGATTTTGGTTCATATAGCTAATATTATCCTTCATGACAACGGTGAGGGGGTATAACTCCTCCGTTTAGTTTATATTAAGTTATATTAAGTCTGCATAATTAAGGGCATGGCCCCTTGAGTGACAGCTAGGTCCTGCTCGTCGCCATCACTTCACCACATTTTCTGATCAGCTGAAATTCTAATACTCTTATATGACATCTCTAAAAATGTATTTGTTTCATTTAAAAACATTTATCATTTATATTTTTCTTTAAAACTTGAAAGCACTGCAGAATCTCACAAATTGATTAGCTGTAGGCTCTAGAACAGTCATGTGGAACACTGTCGTACAGTGTTATGCTTGTATTTCATAAATACCCCTGCATTTACTAACACAGACTAAATTTGAAGTATTTGGAAGTGATTTGTGTTTTCCTAAGCATTATAAGAACAATGTTTAATAGTTTTAATGTATTACAACAGTGTTTTTAAAGGACTAAACACTATATGGATATGGCATACAGTCAAGCACATGTGGTCAGAACACAAACGAGTCGCAGGTAATAAAGAATCTAGCGTTTCTCCCAAAGAAAAGCCTGTCTAAGCAAAATGCTAGCAGGCGTCTGTAGCTCCGTCTCTTTGTCCTTATTTGGTTACCCCCGGTTGGAGCAATGATGCACAAACAAAATAGTGCCGCTTGGCTACGCCCACTTGTGGCTTCATTTTGGCCCTTTAGAAACCTATAGGTGATGTCAAGTATACTACGTCCATATCTTTTACAGTTTTCGTACATGATATGCATGACATGACATGAAGAGGAATCAAGCAATCCTTAATAGTTTCTCAAGTAATTCTTAAAAGATTCTTAATGTAAATACAAAAAATATCAAAACCCTTTGGTCATACAAAAATTATCAAAACATTTTTTTGGGAATACAAAAATGATCAAAACACTTTGGTCATTTTTGAGTGAGAATCCAATTGAGTGATCTATCCTGAGCTAAGCTAAAATGCTGGCTCATAAAGGGTGAAACCCAACTCTATGAGAGTAAAATGAGCCTAGTACAAGTTTTCCTTTAAGTGCCTTGCTTATTTAATAAAGTACTTTTAGCATGGTTTTAGCAACACAAATTTTGAATTCTGTTTATAATGTGTTCAAGTTCTCTAATTTTGGAGATTTGCAACCGACCAAGGTATCAAAAGCCAGACTTACCCAGTATGACCTCAGTCTGCATAGGCATAGAGAGCGCAGGGTGCGTGACCTCGCAGCTAAACAGGGCATCATTGTCCAACTGTGGATTCAGCGTCCAGGTGAGCTTGGCCTGGACCAGCACTGTCCCATCGCTCTGAGGGATGTGTATGTTGCTGAAGAAGTACAGGGGGTCTGTGCTCTGTACCCAGCGTGGAAACTCACGGCTGACCACTGTCTCTGGGATGGTCTCCGTGGCTGGACTGGGCTCTTGGCCGGGTTGTCTGGCCATATAGCTCCGTCCCGGGCTCTCCGTGTTGAGGCGTCCGGGCCTGCCCTCCGGACCTAACAGAGATAGAGACTTCCTCAGCTTAGTGTCGTCCAGATCTCTGCTGATCAGAGGTCTTGCTCCTCGCACTCCAGCTGAGCCGGCACCTTCATATCCCACGGTGGGTGAAACGTAGGAGATCACTTCTATTAATTCTCCATCCCGCTTGAAGTACACCTGGAAAGAGACACAGTCAGTTTAGTGTGCAAGTTTTGTTTGTATGCACTTCAACTACACTATAACTTTATGTTGAATTTAAAAATTGTCACATGCATGGTTTTGTGCATTTTGGACTGTAGGTCAATTGGCCATAAAAAAGGCTGGTTGTTTAATAAATAAATACATTTATTAATTAATAAACAATTTCCCAATGATGCATAAGTTGGCAGTTCATTTTGCTGTGATGACACCTTATTAATAAAGGGAATAAGCTGAAAAGAAAATTAATCAATGAATAAATAAATAAATAAATACAAATATATTAAAATAGGCTTTCCTTAAATAAAATAATGATGAAATAAATAATGAAATTAATATATATATATATATATATATATATATATATATATATATATATATATATATATATATAATTATTATATAAATATTATATTAATTATTATATAAATATTATATTATATTATATAAATTATATATAATTTAAAAATACAATAAATAAAAAGATCATTTAATAAAAAGAAATAAAAGAATGAATGAATGAATACCCCATGTTAGTAGGTAAGTAAATAAAGCAACAAATAAAATAAAACTAATTAAAAATAGATTTTTTAATGAACGAACAAACGAAGGACAAAATGAGGAAGCGAAAGAGCGAGTGGGCAAACTAATGAACGAACGAAAGAACTAATGAATGAACAGACGTACAGACAAATGGATAGACGAACCAATGATCAAATGAACGAACAAACAGATGGACGGACAGACCAAAGGGCGGACAGACGAAAGAACAAATGGACAGACAGACGGAAATACGGATGGATGGACTGACTGACTGCCATAAAAAGAAAAATCAATAAATAAGTATAATAAATAAAGAATTTAAACCATGGAAACAGCATCAATCAATCAATCAATCAATCAATCAATCAATCAATCAATCAATCAATCAATCAATCAATCAATCAATCAACGATTTAATCAGATACATTAAAATAATATATTTATTAAAATAAATAAATAATTACAAATATCTTAAAATGCAGTATTTGTAAAAATACAGTAAATAAAAAGATAAGTAATAAAAAGAAATGAAAGAATGAATGAATACCACATGTTAGTAGGTAAGCAAAAAAAGCAACAAATAAAATAAAACTATATAAAAATAGATTTTTGAATTAAAAATGAATGAATGAATAAGCGAGTGAACAAACGATTGAGCAAATGAACAAACAAATGAATGAACAAACAAACATACAATTGGAAGGACGGACGAACGAACGAACAAAATGAATGAATGAACGAACGAACGAACAGACGGAAGAACGGATGGATGGACTGACTGGCAAAGTGTATTAAATAAGGAATTTGAACTATGGAAACAACATCAATCAATCAATCAATCAATCAATCAATCAATCAATCAATCAATCAATCAATCAATCAATCAATCAATCAATCAATCAATCAATCAATCAATCAATCAATCAATCAATCAATCAATCAATCAATCAATTTATTCAGATACATTAAAATAATACTGTAGAATATTTCCCTCAGACTGTTGCATCAGATACACTTAGCACTGCATAAAGATGCTATATCAAATTACTCTCAGACTTCTAAAACTCATAAACAAAGACTGATGCACCGTGTTGTTTTGTATTACAATAGTCACGCACATCACTGAATGACTGTAAACTGAACATGCACGCTGGCTCTGAAATCACTTTGCAGATTACGCATCTTATGAAAGCCAAGTATAACTTTTTGTTAAAAGGTATGGGAACATTTCAAATAGAGAAAGAAAGCAATCAAAGTCAATTGTGAAATTGCCTGCCCTATGATTGGCAAATTCAAACTAAAAGATCTAGGGCAATGCTCAGCGTCGTTCAGCCCACAGCACCGGTGAATGGCAAATACTTGACACAGTTTCTGCTTTGTGTTTATGTTCCACTAGCGACAGCCTTTCTCCACTACAGTGCATTTGGGTATTAAGATTCCCGGCTGGTAAATCACTTGACAGGGAATTAAGTTTCCACTTCAACACACAACCTCCAGATATGTGTATTAAATTCAGTAGGCCTAATGCCTGTAGCATTAATGTTTGCACAGTGCTCAGCTTGTACCCCTTTTACTCTCATTCCCTCCTTTTCCTACCCTCCACAAGAAGGAAAGAGAGGAATCCAGTGCAGATATATGTTATATATAATCTGCTTGTCTGTTCAGATTGTTAGAAACTTCAAAGGGATAGTTCATGCAAAAAAAAAAAAAAAAAAAAAAATGCTGCTCATTTACACTCCCTGGGGACTTTCAAGATATACAGTAGGGAACTTTTTTCCTCAGTAGAACATTAATGAAGATTTTTAGATGAAACTGTGACTCTTGGTGATTCATAAAATGCAAGTCAATGGCTACTGGCACTTTGAGAGTAAAAAACGTGAATTAAAAACAAAACCAAAATAAAACCCATATGCTGACAATACACTGAAGCGATGATGCGTGGCTCATGAATGAATCAATCGTTTGAACTAGTTCACCAAAATGACTGAATCATCTGCAACTGAACAATTTGTGCCTCAAGTTTCTCACTCAAAACTGACTTTTGGATGCACCTGATAGTCCAGATATGTGATTATATGATGCCAATTTCAGCCAACTCATACAATGCTCCAGTTACTCCAACATTGACTGAACTGAGGAAACAGACTTGAATCGAAGAACTGATGAGCCGGTGATATGTGCATGTGTGAACTGAGCACTCAAATGAAGGGTCGGTGTTATTGTTTTATATTCTATTTGTTTTATATTGCATTCACGTGGGTTGTGTGAAAAAAAAGTGCATTTACAAAGACAAGTTTATTCACATTAAATAAATTAGACAAACTGCATCAATCATCTATTGTAACATAAATAATAATTTCATAGCTGTAAGTGAAGGGTTTGTATGCATAGTTGTTTTTTATGTATATGTGACTCTGGACTATAAAACATGTACATGCTTTGCTATGATTTGCTATGATTGATGTTGAGATACAACCATTTAAAAAACAAAACAATATTTTGAGAAAATAACCTTTACATTTGTACAAATTAAGTTTTTTTTTTACTTTGGCTTTTTCATCAGGGTCTAAAATTAGCACTCACCAATTGCCAAATGAGAGTTAAAATAAATGTTGGCAAGGTGGCGAGAATATTTCATATCACAAATATCGCTAAGCAAAGAAACATGCTATCTATCTTAGATGCTGAAAAGCTAATTAATGTTTTGATGACCTCTAGACTGGATTACTGTAATGAATTGAATATGAAAGGTTGGTAATCATCAGTTTGGAGGGGGAAAAAATAAATAAATTAAAAATACTAGTATGAGAAACATAAGAAATCGATTGAACATTCGCAATCAATTGAAGTTCTCCAAAAACAAAGTCAAGTTGATTGACTAGATCACAGGTGTCAAACTCAGTTTCAAAAGGGCTGCAGCTCTGCACAGTTTAGTTCCAACCCTAATTAAACACACCTGATCAAACTAATTGAGTCCTTCAGGCTTGTTTGAAACCTACAGGTAAGTGTGTTGGAGCAGGGTTGGAACTAAACTGTGCAGGGCTTCGGCCCTCCAGGTATTGAGTTTGACACCCCTGGACTAGATTAATCAATCATTTATCCAAAAACATGAAAAATATTTCCTCTGTAACAAATTTACTTCGGACTGTTTCCTTTAGACAAAATTGCTCTGGAGGTTTAAATATGTTCTCAAGACTCTTAAGACTTGTAAACAAAGACTGATGCACCATGTTGTTTTACATTACAATAGTCACGTACATCACTAAATAACTGTAAACTGAATATGCACAATGGCTCTGAAATCATGTTGCAGATTACAACATTAAGTCATTTTGTTATTTTAAGGTATGGAAACATTTTAAACAGAGAAAGGAAGCAATAATCAAACTTTGCTGCAATCAAAGTAAATTACCGGCCCCACCAAAGATTCTAGGACAATGCTCAGTGTCATTCCGCCCAAATTAGTTCTGTCATCATTGACAGGTTTGTAAAATAATACACATACACACAAATAAGTTCTGAGCAGTGATTGGCTATCTTTCTAGATTCTATTCTTTTACTTTTACCTGAGCCATAGTGTTTTTTTTATTCTCTATGATTAAAGGCTAGTTGTGTAGCTCTGCAATAACACTTTCCAAAACACTAACTGGCAATAAGTTTTTATGTTCCTCTGTGTCAAGTTTCTTCATGGGTGTTTTGTTTTTCCTGAATGCTACCTTAATGTACAAGTCACTAAACTGGCTCATTCAGAGGCCGGAACCGGTGTCCATGCAACAAATTTAATCATAAGGTAAATACAAAAAAAATTCCATCTGGAGCTCCTTCATGGGACTCAACACTTGTAAACACTCGCCCCATCATGCTTATGTCTCTCATCACCGCCCACACTTGTCACCGCTACCAAGTTGACCAATCACAGACCTTGCACTATGTGTCATTGCGACGTTACATTTTTTAATAGGTGCACGTCAGCATGGGTGTCAGCCATGAGAAGGCTGCATTGGACTGTACACTCTCAGATATAAAGTTACAAAATCTGTCACTGGCATGGTACCTTTTTAAAAGGTACATTTTTGTTCCTAACATGTTCTTAAAGGTATAAATTAATACCTAAAAAGTACAAATGTGTACCTTACAGTAACTTAAAGGTACAAAAGTGTACCCTAAAGGTACCAATGTCCACCAATATGGTTCAAAAATGTACCTATTGAAAAGGTACCACCCAAAGGACAAATGTTGTACCTTTATTTCTCAGTGTGTGTGTGTGTGTGTGGGCTGGACGCAGAAGTAAAAATCAGCCTTTTATTGTGTTTAACTGTTTATTCTTTTATTACTTTTATTTATTCTGTGTATCCCTACACCTGGGCTCACTCCACCAAAAACATGCAGGTAACAAATTGACAGTTCTCTGTGTTTTAGTGAATGAATGTGTCTTT